AAACCAAAAATAAAAGAAAATATAAGAACTCTAGTATTTCCTTCCTGAATGCTACTGTGCACCCAGAGTACATGAACCCCACTTGGGACCAGTGGCTTAAGGTTCAAGCAATTGTATTTGTGCAATCTTGAATTTAACTCTGCTTATCACAGCTACAAATAATTCCCAAAAGACAGTCTATGGCCCAATGTCAGGATACTGCAACATGAGCAAAAGAAAACAAAAAGAACTTCTTGGGGATTGACATCTGCCTATGGTTAAGCAATGCTGTCCCTGTTTTAAATCTGAGCAGGCACGTATCAGCCAGGGATGGTACTAGGAATGGTAATGAGGTTTCGGTTAGTTGGCTAGTAGCAACTGCCTGGAAAGGTCCACTGAAGGATACCACAATTGTGTCCAAGAAAATGAAGTAAGACAACCAACACTGGACCACAGGCCTGCTCCCTGCCATCACTGTGCTAAAGATCATCTGGCTGGTGTGCTCTACTCTTAGGTTGCACATGGACTTCCACCATGCAAGCAGCCATTACACAGGTGATGAAAAAGGCAAGCTGGACTGATTTCACCATCAAATGACAGGCAGATGACTTACCTCAGAGGTAACAGAATGCAATATCGAATCAGGACGCCCAACACCCACACCATAGTGAGCCTTGGACTGATGTACTGGAAGTTTACATTGGTTCTTGTGAGGAGATTCCATGACACTAGCTCCTCTGAGGAGAACCTCTGGGTTACTTGATCTTCCACAATGGCTTCTAATCCCTTCTTGGAGAAATAAAACACATCAGACAGCTCAAAGTCCCTTCCTCGAAGACCAGCGAGTCCTTTTTCCATGGGTGACTCATCTCTTTGGATAATACCTTAAAAGAAAGCATCAAAACATTAGAAAAATTGCATAGGATCAAAGAACCACTGATCCAAGGAGAAACTTTAACTGCATGGATACAAAAACAAGCTTAATGGGTGGCATGAAGATTTTAGAACTAAGAGCCCAGCGATCACAGTAGAAAGAGAAACGGCCTCCACCCAGTGACTTAAACTAATTATGGTGGCATTTTCATACTCTCTTCTTGGATTTCTTCTCTGAACACCTTTAGCAGGCTAAGGATCTAAACTGGGTGATAGGGTTATTTTTCCCTAAAAAAAACTATGAAGTCAAAACACAAGGAAAAGAAATTCATCACAATGGTGAAGTATTTAATAAGGCTGAGGATGTAGCTCATGTTGCCTGGCATTTGTGAGGAACTGGGTTCAATCCCAGTACTACCAAAATTATTTAATAAGAAAAACATAGCCGGGCATGGTGGTGCATGCCTTGAATCTCAGCACTCAAAACACAAAGGCAAGCAGATCTCTGTAAATTTGGGATCAGCCTGGTCTACATAGTGGGTTCCAGGCCAGCCAGGGCTACATAGTAAGACCGCTGTCTCAACAACAACAATAAGAAACAAACAACCTATTTCAGAAAAGCAAGCCAAACATGACTGAACTGATAGCAGCCAAGAGTGTTAGTAAATATATCAACACTCACTGGTAATCAAAAAAAAACAGAAACTAGATAACAACTGACATATTTATATTATCAGAACAGCAATATTTTCATTTATTTCATGATAAAGTCTGATGACAGAAATGACCCAGATACCTCATACTTCACTTGAGTAAGTGTGGAACAAGTTGAAACTGGTTTTAAAACTGACTCATCACAAAAAGACTAAAAACAGTTCTACCAATGATTAGAAATTCCAGTCTTGGGAATGAATCCTAGGGAATGTAGGGAAGAACCTTCCCTGTAACCGCTTACCTAGATAATGATCTATGTAGCTGCTAACACCAACTGAATAAAGATGGGATCCTCAACATACCTAACACTGTGAAGTATATACACATACATATGAAAATGGCCAAGAATAAAACAGCAGTGATTATCTTTGGCAATGGCATTAGATTATCTTCTCCATTGATACTGTATTTTCCATGAAGAAAACCATGGAAATCTAACTATTCAATATAAATGATAAATGAGTCTTCAGAGAATAAGTAGATATTTACCAATATATAACATGACTAGCCATTTGTTCTAGTAGGGTGTGTCACAAAGGAATTCACTTCCTGTGTTAGGCTACAAAAGAAAAATCTTCTGGACACAGGGGCCCATGCCTTTAATCCCAGCACTCCAGAGGCAGAGGCAGAGGCAGGCTAATTGCTGAGTTCCAGACCAGCCTGGTCTACATAGTGAGTTCCAGGCCAGCTGGGGCTACAGGGAGACCCAGTCTCAAAAAGACCAAAAAAATTTTTTTAATTAAAAGATTAGGGGCTGCAGAAATGCCTCAGTAGTTAAGAGCACTGGCTGCTCTTGCAGAAGACCCAGGTTCAGTTCCCAGCACCTACATGGCAATTAAGAACCCTCTCCTAGCCTCCACAGGCATTACATACATATGGTGCACATACATACATACAGACAAAATACTCATACACATAAGATAAAATGAAATAAATATATATTAAATTGCTTTAATTATAACAAAAATAAGTTCTTCATTGCGTATAGGGTTATCCTTTTCAGGAGTTATTCAGATCTTTCTTGCCTTTAATTAGTGTCAGAAGATAGTCCAAGAGTGTCCTTACCCTCTTGCTTTACAGGCACAATACCACTCAGAGTAGATCCCTCTAGCCTAGTACTGGCCAATACTTAGGGGTGCAACAGTTTCATTATTTAGCAATATGTAGATTTTTTTAACATCTACCAGGAGAAGGAAGTACAGGCTATTCAGTAAATCTCTGAATGAAATACACTAGAGACAAGTAGACAAAACTTCTAAAAATATCCTTTTTCAGAAGATCCAGAATTGAAAACACAACTTCAAGTTGCCTCATATTCTGCAACTGAGCTGAGGGAGAAGAGACCTGTAAACAGAAACCAACTCCCCAGCCCCACATATTTGATGTGCAGTATTTTCTCTTCCCCTGACCTAGTTTATTCTGTGCAACTTAAATAAAATAAAATGAAATTCTATACTTTTAGTTAAGCATCTTTCAAAAGTATGTGGACAACTGTAAAGCCATGAAATTGATGATGGGTGAATTTCCAGACTATACTGAGACATACAAAAAAATCAGCAGGAAAATTAACTTTAAAACTCAGTGAGACCCCTTCTCCCTGGATGTCACCATATTGATGCCAGACTTAGTGCAGACACCGGATTGGTATAGCAGCACCTCAGCTCGGAACTCCCGTACTCAAGCAATCCTGCCTCATCCTCCCGAGTAGCTGGGACTATAGGTTGTGCCGCCATGCCACATATCTGTTTCTAATCTAGTATTTCCTTACATTGATTGCGGAATAAGTAAAAGGAAACAGAATGTAGTTATCATAACACAACCAAAGATTTCTGTGTATGCTTTAAAATAAATGAGAGTCCCACAGAGAAAAAAAAACTCAGTATGAATATAGTGTATGAAATTCTAGAATCAATTTTTAAAAAACTAAGTAAGGGAAAGACTCAAAACACAACAAACAATTCATACAAGAGTAAGTCTTTATGACTAAATACTTTGAAAAGAAAAACAGTATAACCAGAGAAGCATAAACTAAACCACAATAACGCTATTTCATAGCAGTAACGTCATTCTGATAAAAGCAAATGTGAAAATTGGAAACAATGGGAATATAATTAGGTCAGCTATGATGAAATAGTGTTCTGCACAGTAGATTAGATTTAAAGACTTCTCACAGCATAGATTAGAAATTCCACTTCTAGAAGTTCTTTTATAAAATACCAAATGCATAGAAATGCTACAGGAGCTCTGCGTGGTGGCGCACGCCTTTAGTCCCAGCAGGGAGGCAGAGGCAGGCAGATCTCTGTGAGTTCAAGGCCA